ATCTCTTAGTATACCCTTAAATTTGATTTGATGACTCATTTGTCTCCCTTTAGGCATTATTCAAGATAAAAGACCCACGCATGCTACTTGTAGCAGTCAATCTTGTTTAACTAGGATTCTAGCTATACATTTTTAAGTATCTGTGCTGTTTGTATATTTTGATAAAATATTGTGACTTAATGACAAAGAGGTGGATATGTAAAAATGGAATAAAAGAAACAAAGAAAGATGCCTCCTATTAGTTTAATTCCCTACTTGTCCCCCCAAGATCTTGGGTTTTTGTCGTGGTTATCATCAAAATGTAGCTAGCATTGAGTTGATGTTGTAAATTTTGGGAATCACTAAAAATCCCCAAATCAGTGAGAAACTCAGATAACATCTAAGTTACTGTTATGTTGCTCTTTCCCTTCACCACGAGATCTCTTGGGAGTGGTCCATGAGTGTTGCCTCTACTCCTCCAACACCCGAATTCAGCTCTGTCCTCTCACCTGTCCCCAGGTACTGCTTCCTCCCAGGACTACCTTCCAGCTAGTGCTTGTGGCATGCACGAGGTCCACATCTACCTTTCTGCAGTTTTTTAGACGAGGAAAGACCCTCCCTTCGACCTCAGCCCCATTAGACACTGTGACACAGCACTTTCCCCTTTTGCTCCCTCTACCTTTGACTGCCCCCATGGCCAGCCCCTTTCCTCCTATCCCAAATCACTTCCAAGGCCCCTCTCCCCATCTTGTTTTCACTTTCTCTTGGTTCCTTCCTGTCACCTCATGCCTTCAAAGATCACTCAGTGTACATCCTCTCCAATCCGTATCTCCAGTTCTAATCTTGCTTTCAGGCTTCAGTCTCCATTGACTTGCTCTATTGTCTTACAACCTCAGTCTCTCTTGTGTTTCCTAACTCCGTTACTGTCACCATCGTAGGTCCAGTCATCCAGGCTCAGAAACTCAGAGTCATTGTCGACTATCCCCTCTCCCTATTCTTTTTTTAACCAAATCCCCATGACTCTGCCTTTGTAGTCTCTCCAAAAGACCTACTCATCTCTACTTTGTCTCCTGCTAATCATGTCTGGATTAGTCTCCCCATCTTAAGTCTTTCTCCCCATTTTAATTCATGCATACAGCATACATTATAAACCACAGGGTGGAAATAACTTTTCCTCTGCCCTCTTATGTTAAGAACCTGGAGCCTGCTGATTAAATTGACAAAAGACATTAGCAAGAGAAGCATGCTTTTACTTACACATGCTATACACATATATGTAGGAGTGCCCAGTGATGAGTAATTCAAAGGAGTGGTTAGAATTTGGGATTTAAATACCTAGCTTAGCAGGATAAAGTAGGGCGGGGGAGAGAAAAGGCTCCTATGGGAAGAACAAATAGGTTTCTTTAGGGAATGTAAATGGGGTTTCAGGAGAATAAATAGAAGATAAGAAAGTTTGTAATAATGTTTGCCTATGGAGGTATGAGTGGTCTTCCATCTTCCTCAGGGCCATAACATTCCCCCAGAGAGAGGGATTTATGGTAAGTAGGTTTACTCTTGGTCTCACTCCTACAAATAGACCCACCCTGAAGAAGAAATTTTTGGCAGTTCTCATTTCTCTGAAATTTCTGTTTTCAGTCAAATAAGGAAAGCTCCAAGAAGGCCTCTTTCTGCATCTGTTGAATCTCAAGTGTCTTTAACTTAAAATATTTATTATTTATGAAACATAAAAATATTATCTTCACAAATCAGTTTTTAATCCCATTACACTCATGTTCAAAACTCTGTGTAATCTTCACTGGCTAAAAAGCATTCAGGGCCACCCATTCTGTCCCCAACCTCTCTACCTGACTTCCCATTTCCACCCTTCACTCACCTGTGCTCTAGTCAATCTGAATTTCTTAGCACTGCCTATAAATTCCCACCATTTCCCACCTCTGGGACTCCCTGATACTAGTTTCTCTGCCTAGAATGCCCATTTCCACACATTCAACATTTTTCTGTATCTCAAGATCCAGGTCAGTTGACGCATCTGCCATAAAGTATCCCAATCCGGGGGTATCCCATGAGCTGGTGTATCTCCTGCCTCCCTAAGCTCCCATCAGATTGTATTCCTCTGTCCTCTCATGGCACTCTATCAAGCTATGAAAGTGCGTAGTTTGCCTCCCTTTCTAGGCTGTAAATCCCTAAAGGTAGGATCTCAGTCCAGTTTGTCTTTATGCTTCCCACAGTTCCTTTGTACAGTTGGCCCTTAAACAATATGGGAGTTAGGGGCACTGACCCTTGCATGGTCAAAAATCCACATATAACTTTTGACTCCCTCAAAAATTAACTACTAATGAAATCTTGCCATTTGCAACGACATGGATGGAACTGGAGGGTGTTATGCTGAGCAAAATAAGTCAATCAGAGAAAGACATGTATCATATGACCTCACTGATATGAGGAATTCTTAATCTCAGGAAACAGAGGGTTGCTGGAGTGGTGGGGGGTGGGAGGGATGGGGTGGCTGGGTGATAGACATTGGGAGGGTATGTGCTACAGTGAGCACTGTGAGTTGTGTAAGACTGCTGAATCACAGACCTGTACCTCTGAAACAAATAATACATTATATGTTAAAAAAAAAAAAGAAGATAGTAGGAAGGGAAAAATGAAGGCGGGGGGAATTGGAGTGGGAGACGAACCATGAGAGACTATGGACTCTGAGAAACAAACTGAGGGTTCTAGAGGGGAGGGGGGTGGGGGGATGGGTTAGCCTGGTGATGGGTATTAAAGAGGGCACGTACTGAATGGAGCACTGGGTGTTATATGCAAACAATGAATCATGGAACACTACATCAAAAACTAATGATGTAATGTATGGTGATTAACATAATAAAAAAAATTAACTACTAATAGCCTACTAGTAACCAGAAGGCTCACCCATAACATGAGCAGTCGATTAACACATATTTGTACGGTGTGTGTATTACATACTATATTCTTACAAAGAGTAAGCTAGAGTACAGAATATGTTAAGAAAGTTATAAGGAAGGGAAAACACATTTACAGTACCATACTGTGAAAATCTATATATAAGTGGACACACACAGTTCAAACCTGTATTGTTCAGGAGTTAGCAGTGTATAAGTGCTTAAACAGAGTCATTGGACAAATGAGTAAATAAATGAATGCATGGAGAAGTGTTTGAATGGTGGCCCCTCAAAACATATATCCACCTGGAACCCTGGATTGTACAGATGGGCACTAAATCCCAATGTCAAGTGTCCTTACGAGAGACATACAGAGAAGAGAAGGCTGTGAAGAGGGAGACAGAGACTGGAGTGTTGTGGCTGCAAGCCAAGGAACACTGGGACCATCAGAAGCTGGAAGGGACCAAGAAGGACTGTCCCATAGAGCCTTCAGAGGGAGCATGGTCCCGCCAACACCTTCAGTTTGTACTCTTGGCCTCTAAAACTCTGAGGGAATGGATTTCTGTTGTTTTTAGGTCATCAGCTTGTGGTAACTTATTCTAGCAACCACAGGAAATACACACCATCAAAAGAAAGCAGCAGTTCACTAGGAGAAGATTATAGGGAGCTCTGTGTATCCCTGCCCACCCCGGCCACCACATATGCAAACAGGGGCATCTCATTCTACTTCTCCTATGACATAATGTCCCACACCACTCAACTTTTGTCCATATGAATTCCCTGAAATGGTTCTCACTCTTCCTTGCATTTTTTTCCTCTTACCTCATTTCTCTTGCCTGCTTTTCCCCTCACCTGCCTTCCTTATTAAGGAAGACTTTATTCAAGAGGGGGGGCATCACAATGGGTGTAGAGACTCCTGCAATGGGGTCTTGCAGTGGGGAGAGAGAGATTGGACTCGACTCCAAATACAGCATGGCAAAATGGGAGTTTATAGACAGTAGGTCAGTGAATGAAGGGAGTAAGAGGGTGTAAGAGAGATTCTGATGAAACCAACCTAACAGGATTCTTGTTGAAGGCAGGCCAGATGATCAGACATTACCTGGAGATAGTGAAAAATCAGGAACTCAATCAGATTAAACTGGTTAAACTGACTTGCTAGGATTTGTGCTAAAATTGGACAATGCAGACAAACACAGAAGCCCAAAAGTTACACCTTGTTGAAAAAGAATTCAGGGAGCCTGAACAGAGTCTGGTCAAGAAGTGACCAGCAAAGATCACAGTCTTAGCATTTTGAGGGCTTTGGGATTACAATTAGTTTAGCTTTCCTCTTGGTGCCAGAACTGCCTCCATATAGTCCTGAAAGGCTGTTGTCCTCCCTGCTGTGAACACACTTGTTGAAAAGAAATGCATTCCTTTGATCTCATTTGTACCCTGAGATGTGCTGGGTCTGTGAGGCCATGAGGTGTTGTAGAAAGATGGGAGGTGTGGGAGCCAGACAGACCTCAGTCCAAGTCCTAGCTCAGTCATGATAATACAGCATTGCAGAAGTCACTGACTTTCCTGGATGGGATTTTCTCACCTATAAAATGGAGCTCATTATCCACAGTGTATTAGGTTGTTATGAGAATAAGGGATGTTCTGTCACAGTGTGGGGGACCTTAGTAGATGCTTCCTAAATGAGAGTTACTGTGATATTTTCAAGTTGATCATGAGCCTGCCAGAAGAATATCTATCTATATGTATCTACCTACCTATCTCTAGAGATAGACAGATATCTATAGGCACACCTCAGAGATACTGTGGGTTCCTATGAATCATGAATGTTCTTAATAGCATCTAGAATGGTGACTCCTTTCCAGTAGGTTTTCAATGTACTTTGCTCAGGTCCATCAGAGGAATCACTATCTATGGCAGCCATATCCTTATGAAATGTATTCCTTAAATAAGACTTGAAAGTCAAAAAGACTCTTTGATCCATGGGCTGCAGAATGGATATTGTGATAGCAGGCATGAACACAATACTAATTTCATTGCCTATCTCCATCAGTGCTCTTGGGTAACCAGGTGCATTATCAATAAGCAGTCATATTTTGAAAGGCATATTTTTTTCTGACCATGAGGTCTCAACAGTAGGCTTAAAATAGTCAGTAAACCATGTTGTAAACAGATGTGCTGTCATCCAGGTTTGGTTATTACATTTATAGAGCACAGTCAGAGTAGATGTAGCATAATTCTTTTTTTTTTAATATATGAAGACATTTTGTTATTTTGCTATATAACATATTAGTGAATACACTCAATTGCATTTTCTCAAGTGGCAAATGAGACATAAGATAACATCCTCTTGATTCCTGAAAACCTCGGTATCATCTGTCTTTTGGAGGATCCAGTTTCCTACGACATCTATGATACTGTCCACGAGGATACCAATGGTGCTTAGTAGTAAAGAACATTTTGCTAAGTCGTTCTATCATGGGTCCTTGCTCAAATTGCTCATTTTTTTCTTCTAATCTGGCTTTCAGCACTTGGTCATGTGTTTCTTCATTATTATGCACAGGATCTGGCCGAGGGATAGGTTTTGTATGTTCATATGGAATGTCCACAGAAGGGTGGTAGCATACTATTGTCCTGCCATCCGATGTCAAAGCAAGCTCTACTTTGCAATTATAGTCATCTGGTAGAGAAGAATACGTAGATTTATGACAAACACAATATAAAGCTCCGTTTTGAATTGGAAATGTTTCCAGGTAGTTCTGTTTGATATCACCCATTTTACCCCTGCTAACGCCATGGTGAATCAAGATGCTTATTAGGTGGTGTGAAAGAAGATGATTTGAAGAGAAACTGATTTTAAAATCTTCTTCCAGGTATACCTATTTTCATCCCTGACAGCCGCTCACTGCGAGCCCACCATCTTACCTCAATCTAGATGTAGCATAATTCTTAAGGTTCCTGGGATTTTCAGAATGGTCAGTGAGCACTGGCTGCAACTTAAAGTCACCAGCTACATTAACCCCGAATAAGAGAATCAGCTTGTCCTTTGAAGCTTTGAAGCCAGGCATTGACTTCTCTAGCTATGAAAGTCCTAGACAGCATCCTCTTCCAATAGAAGGCTGTTTCATCTGTATTGCTAATCTGTTGTTTAGTATAGCTACCTTCATTATCTTAGCCAGATCTCTGGCATAACTTGCTGCTTCACCTTGCACCTTTATGTTATGGAGACGGCTTCTTTCCTTAAAGCACATGAACCAACCTCTGCTCGCTTCAAGCATTTCTTCTGCAGCTTCTTCACCTTTCTCAGCCTTCATGGAATTGAAGAGAGCCAGGGTCTTGCTCTGGATGAGGCTTTGGCTTACAGGAATGTTGTGGCTGGTTTGATCTTCTACCCAGGCCCCTAAAATTTTCTCCATATCAGCAGTAAGTCTGTTTTGCTTTCTTATCACTAATGTATTCATTGAAGTAGCACTTTTAGTTTCCTTCAAGAATTTTCCTTTGCATTCACAATTTGGCTGTTTGGTGCAACAGGCCTAGCTTTCAGCCTGTCTTGGCTTTCAACATGGCTTCCACACTAAGTTTACTCATATCTAGCTTTTGATTTAAATGAGAGACATGTGACTTCATTTCACTTGAAAAGTTAGAGGCCATTATAGAGTTATTAACTGAACTAAATTCAACATTATTGTGTCTCATGGAATAGGAAGACCAGAGGGGAGGGAGAGAGAGATGGGAGAGTGGCCAGTCAGTGGAGCAATCAAAACCAATACAACATTTATTAAGTTTGCCATCTTATACGGGTGCAGTTCATAGCTATAGTTATATCACAGATCACCATAACAAATAAAATGATAGTGAAAATTTTGTAATATTGCAAGAATTACCAAAATGTGACACAGAGACACAAAGTGAGCAAAGGCTGTTAGAAAATAGCACTGTGGATGCAAGGCTGCCACAAATCTTCAATTTGTTAAAAAAAAAAATGCATATCTGTGATACACAATAAAGCAAAGCTCAATCAAACAAGATATGCTTGTATGAAGATGGATAGACAGGCAGACAGATAGATAGATATATCTATATCTTTAGATAGATGTTTAGGTAGATTTGAGATATAGCTAGTGTGTCTTATAAATCAAAGTGGCAACAAGAGAAATAATTATTGATTGTCTCCACTAAGTAGTGCAAAACAGCCTCTGTGACATTAACCAAGAGGCTGTTGCCAGCCACCTTTGCCTTGATAGTGTGAAGGGACTGGAAAAAAGAGAATCTAGCAACTTTAGTTAAAGTGAGGGAATTCTTTTTTTAATTGCCTGTCTCCTGGTTATTGGGTGGTCTTCAAGCTCAGAATGGCTTGCAAGTGGAGCCCCCTCAGTTAGTCTCCCATCCCACCACTTGCAGAGAGATTTCTGATAATTTGGACCACATCTGGTCCGCAATAATTCCAGCCCTAGCCAGGGTGAGGACAAATACAAATTAACAAGAAGAGGCTTAATTCTCCCTGTTGAAATGAAGGGGAGAGACATCACCCCCTCCTCTCCCTTTTCTTTCAGAACCTTTGTCTGTCCTTCTCAAACGTATGTAAAACTTTATCATGGCTAAGTAACCTTTTGCAGGTCTCACTCGCGACCTGAGAGCCATCCTTTTGAAATGCAAACATCAAGGGAGATAGCTCCCCTGTATCCCAGTTCCCTTGGGGGGGTAAGAGCCTAACTTTATTGGGCACCTGGCTTCCATTTGCAAAACTACCTCCTGTCCTAAATATATGAGGAGTCCGTTCCTCCTCTGGATAAAAGCACAGATGGTCTCCCCCAGTTACTATGAACTATTTGTGGCAAAAAGATGCTGCAACTTCCTCTTACTTGTTTATCTTGAGAACATGTATTTATGAGAGGTTGTATCTGTTTCAATGCATAAGGCGACCTCTGTCTCTACCATCTCTTAGATTACCTGTGATGCATTTTACAATCTGGTTTAATACCTACTCAGCAACAAAACTGTTTTCTTTCTCTACCAATCTTGTGGAGAGGTTTTCGGAATTGAGAGAAGATTTGGGGTTTTAAAATTATACTTCCCCAACACCAGCTTCTCCTAGCTCTCAATATAAGGAGGGGATTTGGAAAGACACAAGGAGCATTTTTTTCACTCCTGCCTTGGTCAGTCCAGTTTACCCTAAAGATAGCCTGGCATGGAAACAATTCTAGTATTCTATTTAAAGGCACACTCTTGTGCTTCCTCTTAAAACACTAATAACAGATTAGAAAACCATTTGGTCAGTCTGTTATTTCTCAGACATTTTTTTTTTTGCTCCCCAATCAAAAAAATCATTCAACAAATATTTATTGTGCACCTACTATGTACCTAGAAGTACCTCATTTGTCTCCAAGACCCTCCCAAAGAACTCTGTGAATTTTCCTTTCTACTTCCTTTTCCATCCACATGTGTGCTACTCAAAAATTTTTAGCTGAAATTTGGTAACTGCAGCTATCAGAGACATGATTCTTTTTATCTACGTATTTTCCTCCTGCGGACTAAAAACTTTTTTCCTTAAATGCTGATACTATTCCTTAAGCAATTCTCTGAAGCTGTCTTCAGGGCTAGTCCTGTTGCTTCCTTGCAGAGAGCACCCTTCACTCTGAGTTGTGAGGAAGGTGGATGAACTTCTGCTACCTTCAAGGCAAGGTAGTGGATTAGTCTGTCGTCAGACTCAGCCGTTCTTGTCCCGGTGCCAACTTCCACGCTACCGCAAAGACAGCCCACATGGGGCTTGGCCTTCAGGGGACAGTCGGCACACCAACAGACTAGCTGAAGCATGTGGAGTAACAGAAGATTAAAGACAGAAAAGTAGATTACAGCCAGATTTCCAGTGCTGCAAATATTCGGATAAAGAGTGTGGATGTCATTCCGTGAGCAAGGTGGAGTCCCTGAAATTATGCCAACAAAGCACAATGAAATCCTCAAGGCTTAAGCACCAGAAGCACAAGTGAAAAAAATTTTTAATTAAAAGAAAAGAGTTTTCTGCCAACCTGGAAGCAAATTTTCTGAAGTGAAGACCCACTCAGTTTCCTACACATAAGATCCTATCATCTGAGTAGGAGGTCCTAGCCCTCATACCTCCACAAAAACAATGAGTGAACAACCACTCACAGAGGCAAATAGCTGGGGGTGGGGGAAGCTCCTGAGTAAATTGAGAAGAAGCAGCAACCCAGTGGAGGACAAAAAACCAAAGATGGTCACATAGAAAAGTAGAGTTGACCCACTTCAACAGTGTGGGGGATATTAGGGGCACCAACTTCTGAGCAGTCAAAAATCCATGAGAAACTATTAACTCTCCCAAAACTTAACTATTAATAGCCTACTGTTGACCAGAAGCCTTACTGATAACATGAATGGTTGATTAACCCTTGTTTTGTATATTATATGTCTTATATGCTGTATTCTTACAATAAAGTAAGCTAGAAAAAAAGAAAGTGTTAAGAAAATCATGAAGAAGAGAAAATACATTTACAGTACTGTATTTATAAAAAAACCACATTGCTGTGGGCCCATGCAGTTTAAACCCATGTTGTTCAAGGGTCAGTTGTAGTGGTGTGTTTTACCTGCATCACGGCTCCTCATCCTGGCACCACTCAGCAGCAAGGAATCCCCTGTGCACAGCTTCTCCCTGAGGAGGAAAAGGAGAGCAGGAGACTCCAAAAGCCTGCACACCAATGACCCCAGCAGCCCTTCACTGATGCAGACACCCCTGCTAAGGGGCTAATACCCAAACTATATAAGGAACTCATACTACTCAATAGAAAAAAAAATTTTTAATCGTCAAAGGACATATATAGACATTTATCAAAAGAAGACATACAGATGGCCGAAAGGTAGATGAAAAGGTGCTCAACATCATTCATCATCAGGGAAATGCAAATCAAAACTACAACAAGATCCCACTGCATGCCTGTCTCAGAATGGCTAGTATTAAAAAGTCAAGAAATAAGTGTTAGCAAGGATGTGGAGAAAAGGGAATAATATATTATATGTGCACTGTTGATGGGAATGTAAATTGGGTGTAACCACTGTGGAAAACAGTATGGAGGTTCCTCAAAAAGTTGAAAATAGAGCTACCATACGACCCAGCAATTGCACTACTGGGTATTTACCCCAAAGATACAAATGTAGGGATCCGAAGGGGTATGTGCACCCCAATGTTTATAGCAGCAATGTCCACAATAGCCAAACTGTGGAAAGAGCCAATATGTCCATCGACAGATGAATGGATAAAGAAGATGTATATATATACAATGGAATATTATGCAGCCACCAAAAGGAATGAAATCTTGCCATTTGCAATGACGTGGATGGAACTGGAGGGTATTATGCTGAGCGAAATAAGTCAATCAGAGAAAGACATGTATCATATGACCTCACTGATATGAGGAATTCTTAATCTCAGGAAACAAACTGAAGGTTGCTGGAGTGGTAGGGGGTAGGAGGGATGGGGTGGCTGGGTGATAGACATTGGGAGGGTATGTGCTACAGTGAGCACTGTGAATTGTGTAAGACTGTTGAATCACAGACCTGTACCCCTGAAACAAATAATACATTATATGTTAAAAAAAAAAAAAAGAAGATAGTAGGAAGGGAAAAATGAAGGGGAGGAAATCAGAGGGGGAGACGAACCATGAGAGACTATGGACTCTGAGAAACAAACTGAGGGTTCTAAAGGGGAGGGGGGTGGGGGGATGGGTTAGCCTGGTGATGGGTATTAAGGAGGGTGCGGATTGAATGGAGCACTGGGTGTTATACGCAAACAATGAATCATGGAACACTACAACAACAACAAAAAAAGAAAATGAAATCAGTACCTCAGAGAGATCAGCACTCCTATGTTCACTGCAGCATTATTCATATTGGCCTAGATATAGAAACAACCTAAATGCCTATTAATGGATGAATGGATGAAGAAAGTACGGTGCATATATATAACGAATGTTATTCAGCCTTAGAAAAGAACAT